GAACAGAAATACCAGAGTATCTTGCAACACTTCTTATTCACAATGGATTTGATAATATATATTCTCTTTCCCAACTAAATATTAATGAAGATATTGAAAAGATTAAAAGCTACGCAAGAGATGTACTTTTCAATGTGTTAAAGGGAGATGAAAAAAAAGCTATTTTCGGAATATTTTACGAAGATTGTTCATTTTTTAAAATTCCAGAAGGACATAAAAAACTTGTACGGTTTATAAAAGAGGAATCCGAAAAAAAAATTAAACTTTTGAAAAGACCATCTATAAATTGCTCTGGAGAAACATCAGTTCCAAAAAAGAAAAAAAAATATACCAACAGTAGTTTGCCTCAGTCTGAAACTGATACAGAAGATAATAATCCAAGTAATGAGATAAATCGGCACTACAGCATGTTGTAAACATTAGTCAAGTGTATATTAATAAATTTTCTAGGGAAGAGTTTAATAATGGTAGAATTAATGAAGAAGACTTAAAGAAATATTAGACAAGTCTAAAAATTTAAAAGTTAAGATGGTGCTTTGAATGCAAAAATATCTTGCCCTTTATGTACATTCATTTCTTCTGCATACTCGGTAAAGAATTCAAAAACCGGACGAAAGTGGGTTGTTTCGAACTTCTTGAGACATTACAGAACACATTTCAAACGCAATGAAATCAAATCACTTAGCCTTAAATCCAGCAAAACACAAACTCAAAAAGTGCCCTATAGCATGTTAAATTTCCTGAAAAAAACTACCAGTGACAAAACAATTTTCACCTAATTAACCCAAATTCTGCATCTTCAACATCATGTAAATCGGATATTCAATATAACGTTCATTTTGATGAGAATTATGAGTACCAACAATACCTTCCTTACGAGGCAGAATTATCTCACGAGCCAAAAAAGATCCACATAATATCACAAGTTATTAAAACTGTAAATACCGATCAGCAAAGGGCTAATAATCAGTCGTTTGAATCCAGTTTTTTAAATAATATACAACCAGACTGCCTTCCCCGAACACAATTATTACAGGAGCCAATAAATATAGAAGAGATAAGCGTAATGCAAAATAATGAGGTTGCTAATAATATTTTTTATCCACCTAGCAGTCCGATTGGAGAAAACATGGACGTTTTTAATTCAATTAACGATTTGGAAACCAGTTCATTACCACCAGGTCCTGACGATTTTTTCTCCAATGGCAGTGATGTGGAGGTCAAGCAATCTGCCAGTATTAACAGGGGTAATAACGCTTCAGAAAATATAAAGCCTCCCAAAAATAGCAATTCCAGACGAGAAAGGTCTTTACGAAACTTAAATGAGCTTCCATACAATCAACAACAAATAACGAATTTTATGAATGTTATAGAAGAAGTAATAGATAAAAACCCTGAAATTACAAATACCCTAAGAATTGTTACAGAAAATAAAAGCCTAAATAAATTCAATTATGATACGAAAGGATTGTTAAAGCATCTTCTGGAATCAGCAATAAAAAATTCAAATAACAAATTCGGAAATGCAAATAAATTCGACGAAGGTATAAAACGTTTTTGGCTGTACATTTTTATTACCGCCGGTAGGATGACCTACGAAATATTGTATTCAAATTTAAAAAAAACATTATACCCTCTATATCTACTATTCACCGACAACTGGAAGAAATGAATAATATTTTAGAGGGTGTAGTAAGAATTGAAGATCTAAAATTATATTTAGACAAACGAAAATATCCCCCTGTGATTTTTGTTTCGGAAGATCAAACAGCCCTTATCAAGAAAGTACAATATGATTCTTCTATAAATGAAATGGTTGGTTTTGTAGCACCATTACATAAAAATACAGGGTTTTCTTGCCTTGGAAAATGTTCAGTGAACTCAGTTTGTGACATTGAGAATGCTTTTAAAAATGAAAGTTTGCCAATAAACGCCTATGTTTTTATGGCCCAGCCGTAAGTAGATGGATCCCCTGCTTTTTGTATATCTATCTTTGGCAGCGATAACCGATTTACATCTGATGATGTTTCTAAGAGGTGGAAATACCTTGTAGAAGAAGCAGCGAAACATGACATAACAATTTTGGGGTTTTCTAGTGATGGTGATACACGATGCTTAAAGAGTATGAAGACTATGTCGAAATTGCCACTAATCTCTGATAATCCATACTCGCCCTATTATCAGGTATGTCAAATAAAAGGTTAAATAGTTAAAATTAAACGCATTATTTAATTATAAATATTTTTAGGCAGAATACAATTTAGAAATTCCCACTGTGTTTCAAGATACAATTCACATATCAACTAAGTTGAAAACCCGACTACTAAATCAAAACGCGTGTATGGACATGGGAGGAAAACGGGTATCTGTAGATAGTATTCGAAAGCTAATTGACAACTATTCAAGAAATAAAGATTTGCTGTGTAAAAGCTTTCTTGAGTGTAAGTAATTATAAGGATTCTTAACACCTTTTAATTTGGAAAAAATATATTAATAATATAATAATTTCTTTAGGCACATATTATCATCACAGTAAAAATATACATTTTTTTAGCTTCAGATAAAATGAATTTCAATGCAACTGACAAAATGTGCTCTGAACAAGTTACAAATCTTCTCAGGGAAATTCCTGATGCTGAAGCTACTAGACAATATTTAATTTTAACACGCTACATATTAGATGCATTTTTGTTAAAAGACATCAGTGTAGAAAGGCGAGTATACCTTATTTGGTATACAACTTTTTTTATGCGCATTTGGAGATCCTGGCTAAAAAAGAACAACCAAAGCATTCAGAAAAAATTTATTACCCTTAATACCTACACGTGTATAGAATTAAATGCTCATGGAATTATCCTGGCGATTGAACAACTTCGTCAAAGACAAATTCCAGAATCTTTTCTTCCATGGTTGTTTAGTAGTCAGCCATGTGAAAAAATATTTAGAGAAACACGATCTATGAGTAGCACCTTTTCTACCGTGGTAAATTATACACTACTTGAACTTTTAAGACGATTAAAACGCATACAAGCTATGCATGAAATCAGCACTGATTTAGGTAAATAACATATGTACTGCGACCTATTTACTTTAGATTAATTTTTTTAGGTGCTGAATTTAGATTTCCCCGACAAGAAAACAAAAGACTGGGCAATGACGCTTCTGCCTATAAATTAACTCAGCTTCCATCAGTGGAACTTATCAAGCAAACGATTGAAAAAGCCAAAGAAGACGCAACATTAAGTGCTAGACAATTTGGAATGGAAATGGATACGGATTGTTGGTTAAATGTTGATTTGCCAATAACTGGACCACTCCACGATATTATAGATATTGAAGAGGACGAAGAAGTGGACGATAATGCAATGATTTCTGGAGCAGACCATGAGAATGAAAACAAGAATCTTGAAGCCTCACTCGAAGCCAACTTGCCAAAAGAAGACACAGAATTTCTTAATTACACAATCAAGCTTTAGCAGTTACGATTCACTACAATTAAAAGATTATTCAGGACAAAAAAAAATACACACGTCGTGCCTGGCTGTAAAACTCAATGATGGAAAAACTAGAGTAATAAAAAAGTCTACATTAATTTGGTTTTTTTTTAGAAAAGCAAGGACGTTTATCAACCGATCGAGTATTAAGAGTTAAGGGAATGACCTCGAGATTGACCTCAAAAAACACCCAAAAGAAAAAGTCGAAAAGTCAAATTCAAAACTTAAAGAAATGTAAAACTAAGAATGAAAAAAACTAGGCAAGGACGACAGCAGGAAGATAGCACAACTGAATCAGAATCAGAAATAAGTTAAGCTAGTGAAACTTTAAGTGAAGATTTCTCTGATTTGGATGAATGTCCTAGTGAAACTAAAGAAATAACGATTACTTTGGAATTGTATTATGCGGTGTATTATGATACGCAATGGTATTTAGGGCGAGTAATGAACTGCAAATTTAAAATCAAATTTTTAAAACAAGACAGCGATATTTTTAAATGGCCCAAAAAAGATGACGTACAAGAAGTACATCGCCGTTTCATTTTTTATGGACCTGTCACATTAAGTGGCAGTGATCCCTTTACTATAAAGAGAAATGATATACTGGCTATTAAAAAAAAATACAAAGATCTAAAAAATTCTCGAAAATATTAATATTTTAACAAAACCTTCAATTATTATTTTATATTATATGTGACGCATGAAACTTTTTTCTAATAACTGCTTTAGTTTTACTTGGCCAATGTGTTTTAGGCCCGATTGTACAAAGCCAATTCAGGGGGATTTAACTGAACAGTGCTTTGCATGAGACATTTGTTGATAGATTGTCGTAACTTGATAAAATTTTAAGCGCGGTTCAACTAAACCCGAACTAAAGAAGCTTTGTACAACCGGGTCCTAAAGGTGCAAATGTTAGTGTAAATGTCATGTTCATATCAAAGTAACTTAATTTTTAGTATTTTTATTATAATTTAACTATGAATATAAATATGTTTGTATAATTATTTCGTGAATAAATAAATTAAATATTTTTAATTAAATAAAACGAGTTAAAAAATAAAAACCCATTTTTAAATAAATAGAAATAACCAAGAAAGCATATGTTTTCGGACACCCAGTACTTACATTAGATAAGGCTACTATTTTGCTAATGTCAATGTAAAAATCGACCAAAGAAACACCATTTTCATAAAAAATTGGGTGCATTGCTTAAAGGAAATTAGGTAATCATTTGGAAATTTTATGGGAATCGCTAACAACCTGGGAATTACCTGGATAATACTTGGGAATCATATACATATACTTGGCAATCAGTGGAAATATTTGGGAATACATAGGAATCACCCATTATTCTGATCAGTGATTGCCATATATGGAAATCATTGTACATTTTTAAAGCTAGTGGTTGACCCCTCGCGGACACCCTACTGGTCACATATTCACATCCTCCCAGTGTGAAAATAAATTTAAAAATCTTAAGCGTCAATATAAAAAAAAATTGACAATATGAAGAACACCTCAACTGGGGCTCCAGCAATAAAATTTGAATATTTTGATCAATTCAATGATATGTTTGGTAAAAAGCCCAACATTACTCCTATTGCAATTGCATCATCGAGTAAAGGAAATGAAAGAAAGGATAGCACTGAAATAGAAGAGTCAACAAACGCCATTCCAATATTTGGTGATGACAGTGAGAATGTAAATTAATAAAAATTGTTTGATTAATCCATTATTTTTTAGAAACCAAAGGGAAGTGCCAACCAAAATTAAAAAAAAGAAAAACCAAAGCAGACAGATTTTTGGAACATATGGAAAGTATGTCAGAAAAAAGAGAAGACAGTAAGAAACCAAGACATGACGAGATGATAGCCATGCAAAGAAAAACTACAAAAATATTTGCCCAAAAAATGGACAAATTGATTAACAAACTATAATTACTTTTGTCTTTTTTTTCCAATTATGTTTTTGTTTATATATTTTATTTTATGTTTTTTTCTCACATAAATGAATAAAAGGTTTAATTTTTTTTAACCACAATATTTTATTTCATATAAATACATTTTGAACGTAAGTAAATGAAGGGTACAAAATTTAGCGATTATTCCATAAAACATCTGCTAAAGCATTTCTTGCATTTATGCCTTCTGCTCCAATTTGTTCATTATTAACGTTTTCGGCAACATTAAAATCTAACTGTTCACCCTCAGCAATGTACTGTTCAATCATTTCGTCAGGGTTCAACAAACAGATGTTATGCAGCACACAAGCAGCTAATATTGTTGCAGGTATTAAGTCTGTTCGATTCATGTCTAAGTATTTTAATCTTCTCATTCGCCCCTTTAATAATGCAAAAGCCCTCTCAATGACCTGCCTTCCTTTAGAAATTGTGTTGTTAAAGTGGATTTGTTTTCCAGTTAGGTTACCCCTATTAATGTAAGGGGTCTTTATGCATGAATTTTGAAAAATTCCAATGTCACTTACAGAACTAGGGTATTCTGCAAAGCAATCAATAAATCGCAAAAATGGGTCACATATTCCTTGTAAAGTTATCCCAAAGAAACATTTCCTATTAATGTAAGATTCAGGATTTTTTTTTGGGGCTTTAATTGCAATGTATGTACCATCAATTGCTCCAATTACTTTTGATAACTTTGCTATTCTATAAAATTTACGTCTTAATTCCAAAATTCTATCCCCTTGAGGCCATTTTATAAACATTGGAGCCTTCTCACATAAACTTTTTACAACTCTAATGAAGCACATTGAAAGTGAAGATTTTCCTAAGTCAAATCGTTCTCCAACAGATCTAAAAAATATTTTCACTTTTTAATAATTTAAATAATTGGCCTGTAGCCATACCATACCTATATGTATCAGGATTAGCAAGCAGCCAAATAGTTGCTAATAGTTGTTTTTCTGCTGAAATTCGGGTGTGGGTCCCTTTCATCCTCCAATATAGGTGTCATTATAACTAGAAGATGTTGGAAAGTTTCATATGTCATCCTAAAGTGGCTTTGAAACTCGAAGGCATTATAATTTGCTACCACATTTTCAATAAAAAGATTAATACGAATAGGCTTATCACCTTTTTGCAACTGTAACATTAAGCCCACATTAAGTTCTTCTTCATCGTCAGAAGAATCCTCTTGGCACATAATTAAATTATTCGCAAAAGAAAATACAGTGAAACCAATTACTTTTTGAATGTTATTATTATCCATAATGAAAACACGACACTTGGCAATTAAAAATTGAGGTTATGTTATTTACTCTAACACGTTCATCACACTTTGCCTCAAGGTCATTAGATGTTGGGTAGAGTAAAGATTTTATTTCTACCTTACTTTACACTAACTCCACTCGAGTTAACACAATGAACGCACCCCAGGAAGACCAAACTCTGTACTTAGTGACCGATATTTAAATATGCCATCACCAGAAAAAACTTGTTTGAGAAAAAATAACAAAGAAATGTCCTGTAAAATAATACAATTACGGAAAAAATTAAATGCAAATTAAAACAAGTTAAAAGATTAAAAAATAAAAATAAAAACAACCATTTTTCAATCAAAGAAATTTTAAATAATTTATTGAGCAATAAGAGTCATTTTTTAAAAACTTTTATTTTAATGCAGCTTTTTCATAAAAAGAGGGCAAAATGGACAAAAGCTGAAAAAGAATTGGCTATAAGTATCCATTATAAATCTCCGGGTGCCTATAAGTTTTTGATAAAAAAATTGGGATTCGTTTTACCATCTGTTCGAACCATTCAAGAATGGTTAAAAATTAACAATCCGAGGCCGGGTCTTGAATCCAATCTAATAAGAAAATTATCCGCCAAAGTCGAAACAATGTCTAGCATTAAAAAATGTCTGTTGTTTCTTTTGATGAAATAATATTAAAAAGAAATTTAGACAACAATGAATACCATGATATTGTAGAGGGGTATACAGATATGGGGTTTCTTGGCAGAAAATGTGAACTTGCAAATACTGCATTAGTTATTTTATTAAAAGGTTTACTGCACAACTGGAAAATTACTCTCTGCTATTTTGTTACATCTGGTCCTGTGCAAAGTCAAAACCTTAAAATTATTATTGAAAAGTTTATTCAAAAATTGCAAAATATTGGTTTCAATCCCTTAGCCCTTGTCTGTGACCAAGGAACCAATAATAGATCTGCATTAAATTTACTACACTGATAAAAATGATGGTAAAATTACATATTTTTTTACACATAATTATACGAACCGCCATCATTTTATGTGTGTCCGTAAGGGTTGTGGAAAAATATTTAAAACATTTAAGTTATAAAAGTCATATATCTAGAAATCATTGCGTACAAGAAACAAATAAAGAAATTTATAATTTTTCTCTTGAAAACTGCCATTACATTAATCAGGATAAAAAAAAGCTTTTAATTCATGTTTATAGCCATATCAAGGAATTCCTTAAGGGATTTCTTTAAAATGCCCTATGTATTTTGACTGCAAATTAACTAAACTATTTCTAATTTAAATGTTTTAAAAACCCATTTATTAAGAAAACATTGGATAAATAAGAATGTGTTAAAAACATCTCAACTAGAAGAACTTACTTTTAATTCTAGTAAAATAATAGAAGAAGGTATACCTTCTTCTATTATTTTACGCTATAGCGAAAATGAAATAGAAATTAATGAAAACATAGATTTAGAAGAATTAAGTTTAAAATTAATAAGCTCTTTATATTTAAAACTTGAAAGCAAACATTTTTTAACTAACAAATCATTACAGTTAATTGTGGATGGTATTTTAGATTTAAACGAATTAAATTCAAAATTTCTCTTAGAGAAATTTTCCCAAAATAATATAAACGTTGATCCAAGGTTACTTGAAAATAATTTGTTTTTTAGTGTTTATAATTATATATATTATTATGTGTTTATAATTATATATATTATTATAATAAAACTAATGGAAAACTAATGGAAAACTAAGAAATAAATATGTGAGAAACAAATTTTATAAAAAATATTTTAATTTTGTTAGTCCGGTTCCTATAAATGTCGGTGATGGATCAGTTTTTCATGCTTTTTAAAAATGACAATTTTAGCAAACATTTTTTCAATATACCAGAAAATCCTGATTGTGTTTTAAATAGTTCTCTTTTTAAAGAGTATGGTAACATTCAAATAATTTTATACCAGGATGCCTTTGAAATCTGCAACCCACTGGGATCATCAAAAAAAAACATAAAATAATAATAATAATATGCAACATTTGCGAATTTACCAGCTTGGCATAGATCGCAAATAGAAGAAATTCAACTTGTTGCACTAGTTTATAAAAAAAATGTAAAAACGAACGGATTTGCTAATGTTCTTAAAATAATTGATTTAAACAAATTGTAAAACGAAGGTATTATGGTAAATAATGTTATTTTAAAAGGTTCCTTTATTAATAAAGGTCAGGATATAAATGCTGATATTTTTATTAACTTTTGTGATATAATATGTTTTGAGACCCTTTTTTATTTAAATGATATTAACCAAAATTTATTTTATTTTAAATCTGCACCTATCGAAACATTGTAGGTTTTGAGTATGTACAGTGTTGGCCATAAGTATTGGAACCACTGTAAAAAAATCTAACTCTAAAACGCCTTTATTAATCTTCATAAAATTTTGGATAAAAATACTTCAACTTTTATCTCAGTTTACGTGTTCGAGGGTTTTTTGAAAAAATATTTTTTAAGCCCTTTTATTTAATAATGAAAAAACGTTCGAAAAATAACTTTTAGGTAAATTTGTTTTTAAGTAAATAAAAATATGCAGTTAAACACCGTATTTTTATTAGTATACCCTGAAAATTTTGTACAAATCAAACGAACAGTAACGAAGATACAGCCCTTTAAAGTCGGTAAAAATGGCCCCTTTTTGATTGTTTCGCTGAAAAGTGGTCATTTTTGACTACTTTGAATCGCTGCATCTTCGTTACTATTCATTTGATTTTTACAAAACTTTTAGGGTATACTAACAAAAATAAGGTCTGTAACAGCATATTTTTTATTTTCTTAAATAAAATTTCCCTAAAAGTTATTTTTCGAACGTTTTTTCATTATTAAATAAAAGTGCTCAAAATTTTTTTCAAAAAACCCTCGAACACGTAAACTGAGATAAAAGTTGAAGTATTTTTATCCAAAATTTTATGAAGATTAATAAAGGCGTTTTAGAGTTAGATTTTTTTCCCCAGTGGTTCCAATAGTTCTGGCCAACACTGTATGTGTCTGGGCCCTGTCCCCAGTCTGTTTTTTTTAAATAATAAACTACTCTAAAGAAAAATGATATACTTTTTATTTTTGTTATATTTTATTTGTGCGATAAACTTTTGTATATGTATATACTAGATATAAAAATTACAATAAATTTTACTTAATTTAAAGAAACTTAATATTTTATTGCATCCTTTGTATATTGCATTAAAAACTATCTATAATTTAAAAAGTGTCTCCTTTTTTAAATAGTTTATTATTTATTTAATTATTACTTTACTATATTATAATGTTTTAGAACCATGTCAATTTTATTTACTGTCTGGACTAGTAACCGGGAACAAAAGAGGTTTATTATTGAAAAAGAGGGCATAAACCTTTTGGAACGCGTAATTCTAAAAGGTAAGGTAGTATTTCTTGCAAATTTATTTGTTTAAATTTTACAAATAAATATGCTTTAGCTTCCGAAAAATTTTCTCTTAATGGATCCACGTTAGTTTTGGAGAGTAACGGTACCCCTGTAGAGCAGGATGAAGTTCTTTTGATATTAAAATCAGAAATTTTAATTTTACTGGCATCTGGTGAACAGTGGATTCCACCCGATGCCCAAAAATCTCTCGAAAGTACCAATGGGGTCTGCTCCTTAACGACCACCGAAACAATTTCAACATTTTCAACAAAAAGTTTTAGTGAAAAGAATAACACATTAGTTGATATAACTAATACACCAGTGGTATTGGCTGATGCCAATTTTGAATTTATATGGGCAAATTTTGAAGTACCGTGGCAAAAGATACCATATAATTTAATTGAAATATTAGAACTAGGACAAAAATGGCAGGACTGTAAACCAAATATTTCAGAGATCTGCCATACAATAGTTTATGAGATGAGGCTCATTAAAACTAAAATACCCATTATGGAGAATTTAACTAAAAATAGCTAGATTGGATCTCAAATGCCCAAAGTATCGAGTAAGAAAAACAAAATAAATAATGCATTTACTTTATTAAATATTAACATACAATCAATAACTACAAAGATCAATTCATTAACATTATTTTTAAGTCAAAATAATATAGATGTACTCTGCGTAACAGAGCATTGGCTTAAGCAGCAAATTATTCAAAATATTTTTATTGACCAATACAATATTATCAGTTCTTTCTGCAGAAAAGACTTTTTGCATGGCGGAGTACTTATTTTAGTTATAATATAAAAGCTGAAAATATTAAAAATATCAGTGACTTATCTATTGAAAAACACGTAGAAATAGCTGCCATACAGCTTTTAACAAAAAATATTATTATCATTGCGGTATATAGATCCCCGCTAGGAAACCTTGAACAATTTTTACTAGTTCTCGATAAAGCTTTACAAAATATCATCAATAGATTTAAAAATAAAATTATATACTTATCTGGGGATTTCAACATCAACTTTTTGGAAAAATCTCTTGAAAAATCGCAGCTATTAAACATACTACAAACTTACGGTCTAACTATTACATTTAATGAACCATCCAGAATTTGGAAAAACAGCTCAACATGCATAGACAATATAGCCACTAATACAAATATTTACGATTAATCCACACCTGTCTGACCACATGGCTCAATTAATTATAGATCCAACACATATGTTCCTTAAACAAAATAACGTGAATTATATTTATAAAAGAGAAGTTAATACAGATAATAATTACACTTTTGCAGAAATGTTTCTATCCATTCCATGGGACGAAGTTCTTCACGAGATGACCGCTCAACAATCGTTTACTTACTTTCACGATACATACGTTAAAATATATCGTATTGCATATCCTGTAAAAAAGAAAAAAGTATATAATAATAATGTTACTAAACAAAAAATATGGTCGAAAAATATACAAAATATGAAAAACACCCTTGATGCACTGGCTGTTGTTGCACAAACAACAAAAAGCTCGGCTGCATACCGAGCTTATGATATTTTTTAAAAGAGAATACCAAGAAAAACTGGTACAAGAACGAAAACAAAAAAACACAAACTATATTAATAACTCTTTAAACAAACAAAGGGCAACATGGGAGATTATTAAAAAAGAAACAAATGTAACTAACAAAAAAGAATCAATCAAAAGCAAGTTAACAGCAGAACAATTTAATTCCTATTTTACAAATGTGCCAGATAATATTCTATCAAAGCTCAATAACTTTAATTCAGGACAAGCTACATTGTTTCTTAAGTCCAAAGCTCTAAATAACATTGAATCAATATTTTTTCAAAGCACTAACGAAACAGAAATATTTAACATAATTACTAGTTTAAAATCAAAAACAACCGAAGACATATATGGTTTAACAACCCAAGTTTTAAAATTAATAGCACCATGTATATCTTATCCTTTAGCAATGATTATTAATAGATGCATAGATGAAGGCTACTTTCCAGAAGAATTAAAAGTTGCAAAGATTATTCCAATTTTTAAAAAAGGTGATCAAAATGAATGTGAAAATTTCAGACCAATATCCATATTGCCTGCCATCTCTAAGGTGTTTGAAACTCTCATTAAAAATCGAATTATGGATTACTTTGAGCAAAAAAAATTATTTAATAACACTCAACACGGATACAGAAAACGTAAATCTACAACCACTGCCATTTACGATGTAATAAAATCAATACTTGAAGCACACGACAACTCCGAAAAAACATCAATTATATGCTGTGACTTAAGCAAAGCTTTCGACACAGTTAATCATTTAATCTTGCTAGAGAAACTGGAGTATTATGGAATTAGAGGCCATCTTTTAAACTTAATGTCATCATACTTGCAAGGAAGACGTCAATGTGTAAAATGGAAAGATGAAGTTTCTTCCACAAATATGGTTGTCCATGGAGTGCCCCAGGGTTCAGTGCTTGGACCAATTTTATTTATAATATATTTAAACGATGTTACAAACAATATAACAACCTATACAGCAAGTTTATATGCAGATGACACTTCATTTCTAGTCAAATCGAAAAGTCCTAAGCACATTGATGAAGTGATAATGGAAACACTGCAAAGAACCAAGCTTTGGATGGAGAGTAACAAACTAATATTAAATGAGTCTAAAACACAAACAATGAAATTCTTTACTGCAAATGACATTAAAGTAGTAAAATTCTTGGGTATTTACCTGGACAACAGGCTATGTTGGGGCGAACACATTAATAGTTTATGTAACAAACTTTCCAGTGCCATATATTGCATAAGAACTTTAAAATTCCATGCCAGTCATGAAGCAGCAAAGTCATCTTACTATGCAAACTTCTACAGTCACATTTCCTATGGCCTTTTGTTTTGGGGTTTGTCTGTTGAAGCTAGTCGCATTTTTATTCTGCAAAAGAAAGCTTTAAGGGTGATATATAACTCAAAATACAATGAGAGTTGTAGAGAGTCGTTTAAAAACGAAATGATACTTACTATTCCCAGTATCTATATATTCCAATCTATAAAATTTGTCAGATGTCGTCTCAATGATTGGGCTATGAACTCAGACTTTCACACACACAACACTAGGTTTAAGGATTCGTTGCTGATTCCTAGATGTCGTCTTAAAATTACCCAGCAAAGTGTTGATTACTGGGGAATCAAATTTTATAACGTGCTGCCTAATAACATTAAGACTAAACGATAAGGTGTTTCTTAAGACTGTTAAACAATTACTTATTGAAAACGTGTTTTATTCAATACAGGATTTCTTAAATTTTAATTTTAGCCCTTAATTTTAATGTGTATTAGTAATTAGTTTTTAATCTATAAATGTATATTACAGTTTAATTAATTGTCAGTCTTATTTATTATTTAAAATTTTAACTATTGTTCTTAAATATTTACTTTTTTGTAAGGTTTAATTGTAATATTATAAGTTGCTCTCGTCTCGCAAATACATGTATGTAGTACCTCCCTGATCACGCACTCGAGTCACAATATTTAAAGACAAAAAAATATATTCAATACTTACATCACCGACCAGCACGATTCATTCTTTCTAATTGTGCGCTCGAGTTCACATCGGCTCAGTGTTTATTAAATAGTTTGGTGTTTTTATTTTTCCAATTAAAAAGTATAATAATTGGATTTCAATGAGTAAACGTCGTAGAGGAAGCCCGGATAGCGGGCTAGACAGAAAGAGAAGAAAATTGCTTCGAAAACTGGAAAAATTGGACCGAATTCAAGATGAGGCGTTAAATTACTCTGACAATGGGAGTACTTCCAGAGGAAGAGATGTAGATCTCGTTCCATCGGAGATACAAGGTAATGCCCCTTTTACCAAGAGACATGTGTATGTTTGAAAGCTGTTGTTAATGGCTTATTAGTCATATGGCTGGCGAAGGCAACAAAAAATAATTACGTGTACACGTAATGTTGCTTAAAAATATATAAAAAATTATTGAAATAAATTGTATTATTACAATATATTAATTTACGCGATAAACAATATTAAATTTGTTTAAATCAAGGTCAAATGAAACTAATTTTTTCAGTGAGTAGTAAGCGTACAGAAAAATATCGATAAAGCAGGACCGCATTGGATCCTTTTTAAAAATAAATCAACTTCAGGATTATAAGGTAATTAGTTGTTTAATTTTAGATGAAAATCAAGATCCAATGGAAAATGTCGTGGAAGTTCTTCCAGACAATATTTTGAATATTATCAAAAGCAAAAAACGGACTCCAGATCCTGCATCTGAGCCAGTTCATGAGGAAATTGTCACAGAATGGACATATATTATCAAGAAAGGCCTTTCAGAGGAAGAGAGAGGAGAAATTAATGCCAAGTATCCAGCACCAGCCAACTGCAAAGCGTTTGATGCTCCGAAGTTAAATTTGGAGGTAAAAAAGGCGATTAGTGAATCAACTCTAAATAGGGATAATCGTCTAAGCCAGACTCAAAAGCAGTTGGGAAATAGTTTATCAGCATTAGCAAAGGCGTTTTCCTTAGTTTTAAATAAGGAAAGAGGGGAGGATCTGCCCCTAGTGCAAACAATGAGTGATGTAGGAAAATTATTGACGGACTTGTTCTACACCCAATCCACAACAAGGAGAGAACTAGTTTCGTTGGGTCTAAAAAAGAACGTAAAAGAGACCTTAATTGATGCAGAAATGGATGGATGGCTTTTTGGAGAGAATTTGGAAGAAAGAATCAGGGCGTCAAAAAATACCGTAAAGATTAGTGAAGAACTTAAACCGGCCAAGGCTAAGCAGCCTTTATTACCCAAGAAGAATTTAAACTCCAAGGGTCCGTCCAGGTTTGCCAGGGTTCGACAGGACGGACAACAAAGTCAATATCGAACTCAAAAGCTTCAGGAGCAAAAGTATCCGGATCAAAGATATCGGAAGGAGAGGCCAGATTACCGAAAACGGCCTCCGCAACGCAGGGAGCAGTTCAGGCAGCGTCATTAGTAGTAAGTAGACCGGCTGGCAGATTATCTTTTTTTTATTCATCTTGGTATAAGATTGTTAATAACACAACCATATTGTCGTGGGTAAAAGGAATAAAAATTCCTTTTCTCAAAAAACCTTCACAGTTGCATGTAACTATAGAACTGGTCAGATGCCGAGTTGATTTCTATTAAAAAATCAGTGGCAGAATTATTGGAAAATGGTGTTGTCAGTCAGGTAACAGAGTGTGAGGGGCAATTTATTTCAAATATTTTCTTGGTTCCAAAGACAGATGGTACAAGTCGTATGATTTTAAATCTTAAGGAATTAAATACATTTGTAGAACATAAAAAGTTTAAATTAGAAGACTCAAAAACTGTCAAAAGTTTAATGAATAAAAATTGTTTTATGGCGAAAGTTGATTTAAAGGATGCATACTATCTTTTAAATATTCATAAGAATCATAGAAAATATCTTAGATTTAAAGTAATGGGCGAATTATACGAATTTAACTGTCTGCCAATGGGGTTGTC